GATATTTTATTTTCACTTCTGCTTCTTGCTGCTTTTTGAGTCCACACTGTTTGTAATCTTCCTCCGTTCTCCTAGGTACTGTTTTGCAAATGTTAGTACTCTAAGCCAGTGTTGCCCTTGGCTGCTGTCTCTCTCTTCTTGGCAAGAGGATCAAGTGTTTTCTGGCTAAGGCAGTTTCTAGGCTCTTTTGGCCTCCTCACTGTGGCATCTATTTATTATTCATTAAACTTGTGCAGGAAATGACTATAATCAAGATTAATATCTGTCTTTTTTCCTTTTCCTATTTTTTGGCATTTATGTCTTATTTGAATAGGTCAGATTGGAGCTGCTGCAATTGTTTTCACCTTTAGCCTTTTGTCTGATTTGGTGTTTGTTTTAACTAGTTGATGATGTAATTGCACACAAACTGCTGATTCTGAAATAACTCACAAATCAATAACCAGTCATTTCCTATCCATTGAAATACAGTCAATTTCATTTTTTTAAAATATCGTTATTCAGTGCTTGCCCACGTCCATGTCTAGAAAGTATTCATAGTATAGAGGCAAAAGGTTTCAGAATAGTCTACAATTCCTTGTTCACTCTTAAAACTTTAACCATTTTAAAAAAATTTTTTTAAACATCCTTCAAATGAGATTACTGAGGATCAAAGTATGTGTTGACTTTATTTGGAAGATCTTGTAAAATTATTCATAAATTTTCTCCACCTTCTACTTTAGTGCCTCAGATACTACCACATAAGCTGCAATCCCATTTTTACTGGGAGCCTTCCCCAACCCCTATTCATTCTAATGCCTTCCTCTGTTAATTTTTCCCTATTTATCTTGCACATAGCTTGCTTTGTATATGTTTTGAGAGCAGGAGCTGTCTTTTGCCTCTTTTTGTATCCCCAGTGCTTAGCACGCTGCCTTGCACATAGTAGGTGCTTAATAAGTGTTGGTTGATTGATTATCATCGTAGTTTTTTTGCTTGTGCTCATCATAAGCACTACAAGATGCAGAAGACCAAGCATTCCATGAAATAATATTTCTTATTGCCTTTTAGCATACAATAAGACCAACTCTGCAAACTCCTCTGTTTGAAAGGCTAGGCAGCAGGAAGAACCACCACCTTCCAGTGCCTGCCTCCAAACAGGCTCTAAGGTTGCTTCCGGGGCAGCTAGGTGACACTGGGGCAGCTAGGTGACACTTACTAGCTGTGTGGCCCTGGGCAAGTCACTTAACCCCAATTGCCTCAATAAACAAACAGACAAATAAATAAATAGATAAGTAAATAAATAAATAAATAAAAGATAAGGTTGCTTCCAACCTTACCTTCTCTTCTCTGTCTAAGCTATTTGACTACTCAAAGGGCTCAGATGATATGAGAGTCAGCAACCACTAGGCCTTACCAAGATGCCTTGCCTCTGTGCTTTGTACTCTTTACTTTGGAACTAACAGCCTAAGGACTTCTGGCCCTGCCATCCACCCCACCACTACACCCTTAGGACTTTCAGACCTTTCCATCATCCCTGCAGCCAAACTTTCTTTTATGTGTTGTCTCTCCCAATTGGAGTGTGAACTTGAGATCAGTGACTATCTCAATTTTGCTATTTGTTATCATCAGCAGATAGCATAGCATTTAGCAGACAGTGAGTGCTTAATATATGCTTTTTCATTCATTCTAGTCATTCATGGACCCAGTGATGGGAAACTAAAAGGGAGAAGTAGTGTTGAGGCAAGAACTTTGGTTTTAGTATAGGCTTCTTTCCTCCTGGGCACTCAGTAGTCATGGAGAGCTTGGACATATGTTGAATAGATGAGATGAGTAGGTACAGCTCCTACTCTGAACAATATCTTCATAGTGGTAGGTTCCAAGGCAAGAAAGCTTCCAAACCCAGTCCCTGAGTGTGGCTGATGGAGGAACCCCACATACCCAGGTCCAGTGATGGTGAGGAGTCCAGGAAGAGGTGGGTCCAAGTGGGGTAGGAACCTTGGAGTCACCTGTGGCTACCATCTTCTTGGTACTTAGTAGCAATGGAGATCTACAGCTTTGTTATCAATGACTTGGATAAGAGTAGATGCAAGGGGCAGCTAGCTGGTGCAGTGGATAGAGCACCTGCCCTGGAGTCAGGAGAACCTGAGTTCTAAGCTAGCTTCAGAGGCTCACTAGCTGCATGACCCTGGACAAATCACTCAGCCCCGATTGTCTCTTCCTCTCCCCCCACCCTGGAAAAAGAGTAGATGCAAACCTAGTCTTTCTTTCCTAACCTTCATTACAATTCTGAAACCCTTCACATCTCTTTCATGATTCCTGCTCCTTGATTCTTTAGTTGGTGAAACTTCCTCCATTTTTTTTCCTGGAGGGACTTGAAGATCAATTAATGTAAATTGTTCCTGCTGTTGTACCAAAGGGAGTGGTTTTCTACCCAAAACCTTTGAGGGCAAGGCCTATGTTGATCCTTAGTGAACGTGTTTTCCTACTTGATCAATCCTTCTTTCCCTTTGGAGGAACAAATTTAATGTGGCTTGAATATCTTAGTAAGGCTGCACATCTCCATCTGTTATCTTTCCCTTGTTAAAATTTTTTTTCTGTCTTGTTAAGGATCTATCTTTCCTTTTGCATTTTCACCTGATACTAAGTCATGGGCTTGTAGGTTTATAAATGTGCCCATCCATCTCTAAGTCTGAAAGCATCTCTCCACAGCTCTGCCATCTTGTATTTCCATATCTGAAATTATGTATCTAGGAGTTTATTCTTGTAGTGTTGTCAATTAGTTGGCTATTGGACCAAGACTCATATTTACAGTGACTAATGTTTAAAGATGGCCTAAGAAATGTGTAATTCTTAGCAACTCCTGTTCCTTTTTTGGCTAATCCACCAATGTCACTGTGAAAGCATTAGGGACCCATAAAGAACCAAGGGCTATTTGAACTTTTTATTTATTTTGTGGGTTGCCATGACCAAAAACAATCATCATCTAGTATCCAACCTACTGATGAATAGCTTCTCCATTCTTACCTAGGTTGGACCTTGGAAAGCAGTGTAAGTCTGTTACTAGGGCTATGTTGAAAGTCTTTCCAGAATGGTAGAACCTCCAGAGCTTACACTTAGCTCACCTAGCTTCCAAAACTCAAATACTGCCTCCCTAACACAGTGAAGTATTAGAGTAGAATTTCATGAAGTAGGTCATCATCATCATCATCATCATCTCTTTCTTATCTTTCTCGATATTGTTTAGATAGAAATGGTCCTGGGACAAGTCACTATGTTACTGTTATTCTTTTACATTTAGTGATCTAATGCAGGAGTTCTTGAGTCCATGAACATTTTAAAAACATATTTTGATAAGTGTATTTCCGCATAATTGGTTTCCTTTGTAATCCTGTGTATTTCATTTTATGCATCTAAAAATATTATTTTGAGAAGGGGTCCACCCATAGGCTTCCTCAGACTGCCAGTGGGTCCCCATACTTATGTCGAGTCAGTAAGCATTTATTAATCACATACTATAAGGCAGACAATGTGCTAAGTTCTGGGAATACTAGTACTAGTACAAGCAGAAAGAACAATAGTCCCTAACCACAAAGACCTTAATATTCTAATGGGGGAAAACAACACAGAAAGGGAACCTAAAAGATGTTTGGAGAAAAAGGAGAGGTATCTGGAGAGGGTCATTGTAGGGAAAGTTCAGAAGGTCAGGAGGGAGTTTGAAGAGGAATGAAGACATGGCTGGCTTGAGTATTTTCTTTTAAATGGAGGATTTGAAGGGGCCATAGGAGCAGAGAATGTTTCTAGCGTGAGAAATCTAAGAGTGGAGCAGACTTTCAGAATGAGAAGACTTTTGTGACATTGTAGAGAAAGTTCAGGGAGTCAAGAGTGGAGAGTGGGGCCTGGAAAAGAATTAAGGCTTGGCTGGGCTAGGCAATTTCCTTAAAATGTAGATTCTTGGAGGAACCAGCCAATTAGAGGAAGGGACTACAGGGGTAAAGAGTACTTCCAGCGTGAGAGATCCGGGGTGGGGTGAAATTCCAGGGTAAGGAGGTTTCTATGGCATTGTAGAGATCTTTTTTTAATAGTTGAACAAAAGTATTCAATATGAGCTCTCTCTGTAAACTTGCTCCAAGAATTCTTGTTTTAACTCCAGTAACAGACTGGATGGTAAAAATATGTACCTTACCTTATTCCCACAGGACCTTGAACTCCTCTGCTAGATCTCTATATTTTGCAGCCTTTTGCGTGTACCTTGAAATTATGCATATTTGATATAATGACATCTATTAAAATGTTATTTTTAAGTTTTTATGGTTCAGTGTTATGTCTTGGTGATTATATACAATGGTTCAGCAACAGTGGTCTGGTTTCTTCAGTATACTTTATGGGTTGAATTCTCTAGGATATTGAGGCCTGTATTTGAGGCAACTAGGTGGCTCAGTAGATAGAGTGCTGGACCTGGAGTCAGGAAGAGCTATGTTCAAATCTAGCTTCAGAAGCTTACTGTGTGACGTTGGGCAAGTCACTTCACTTCTGTGTTTGAAATGGCAAACTACTTCACTATCATTGCCCCCCCCAAAAAAAATGGACAGTATGGTCCACAGGGTCACAAAGAATCAGACACAACTGAACTAAGAAACAACAATAACATTGTAGAATGGGGATTTCTCAGTTGGTCCACAAAAAATAGTGAACTTCTTATGTATAATTCTAGTTGCCAGATCATATCTTACTAGGTGTTCCTCAATTGTTACAACTGGCAGTGATATGTTGCATATTTTATAAAGTTTCCTTGAATAATCTGTATTGATCCTGTAGTCCATGCTTTTATTACTATTATTATTTGAATTATTATTGATCAGATCAGATAATATTTGCGAGGTTGTTATACAAATGCTAGTTATTACTACGGTTATTTATCTCTCATAATAATACGTAGTTTTACCCATAAGGATTTTGGTTTAGCACATGAGAGAGCTTCTCACTTTCATAATTATTGATGACAAATTCTTTTCCCCCCAATGCAGGGTTATCATCCAATGCCCCATGAAGCAGAGATTGCACATACTAAGAAATTGTTCCGACGGAGAAGAAACGACCGGAGGTAGGAAAGACTGAGTCTTGAGTTTTCTTTCTCCTTCGCCCATTTGCTTTCCTGTCGCGATGCTGGTTGCTCGACCTGTTGAGATGGTAGAGTAACAATGAGAGTGTTTGGGTGTTGAAGGGCCACCCAAAGAATAAGATACTTATTTTTTGGTGATTTTTAAATTTTATGTTGCTGTCGTCATTGTTTGTGTAACATCGCCTCTTGAACATTCCCCCAACTCAGCACTTGCACTGAAGGGTTTGATCCTCCCAAAGGATGGCTGCTACTAGGTTCCAGGAGTGCCCCGTGTGTCCGAGCTCCTGAAACTATACCTCAAGAGGCTCAGTCAATGAATGTGTTTCTCATGAACAGTCATCCAGAAGAAGCAATGAACCCAAAGCTGTAGCAGTTACAAAAATGGCATAGTAAGAATAGGGACTTCAAAATGTGCCCCCCTCCAAACCTAGAACACACTCTTCCGCAAAAACAACATATCTAGAACATAGCCTTAGAATATAGTGGTGATAATGAGGCACACACATCAGGATACACGTGGCCAAGGCACACGTGCTTTCTCTTAGTCTCTCTCCACACACACACACACACACACACACACACACACACACACACACACACACACACACACACACACACACACACCCTTGGGCTCAGTATCCCTGCTAGGTGAGTCACTGAACTGGGATGCCAGTGTCTGCTTCTCTCCACAATTCAATGCTCACTGACCATGGTCAGCTCTCTTGACTCTGTAGCCCGCTCTCTTCCTTTCTGCCAGAGGTCACACCTCTTTAAGCTGCTTCTACCTTTCTGTATTCATGTCTGTCAGAAGTCTCTGCTCCCCCAGCTGTGCCTCAGACTCTCTAATTGGCCCTCCAGCTGCTGAATGGTATGTCTTCTAGGCAAGAGGCTCTGATGTTAGACCCCATCACCGATGGGCAAGGAAGGAGAGAGAAATCCTCTTTTTCCCACTGAAGAACAGTTCCTTCTCAGGGGCTCGGTATCTCCTCCATTACTGCTTCCTAGCCTGCACTGCCTTGCCTTGTCGGCGGGCTTAGCTGCTCTTTAAAGCCTCCAGATGTGTTGAGCCATTGGAGGAGTGAGTGTTATGTATTTTGGTCCTGCTTATTTCATTCTTCGTCAGTTCATAAAAATCTTCCCTGGGTTCCCCACACGTACATTTGTCATTTCTTTGTGCATTTATTTTCTAAGGGGTTTCTGAATATGTAATTGACATTTGATATTACTTTGTATTGAATTTCCTCCCGGGATAAGGTGACAGACAGCTTACAATTTTACTGCTACTAAAGATTTTTCCTAAGGATCAAAGAGACTAACCTACCCATCTGCTGCAAAGAGAGTGGTTTCTCAGGACTCCAGAAGAAGGAGAGGTGCCTGCCTGTGTTTGGTAGAATATCCTCAAGCTCAATGCGATTTGTGTCCAATCTTCTACCATAGTGACTTCACACTGTGTGTGGTCTTTTTTTTTTTCCTTTGACGCCTGTACTTTCACTGGTGTACAATGACAGAACTCTCCCTAACACTGCAGACAGGCATCTTTTCTTCAGTTTGCTGTCCTAACAAGTTGCCTGAGGCAATAAGGTATTGGGATGTTAGAATACATGCAGAAATCTAAGACAGTACTGCTTTAAAAAACCAGAATCACCACTTTCTACTTGAAAAGCCATGTTAAAAATGGAGGGGGAGAGATGAGAGAAGTATGCAACTAAAATTCTGAAACATTGTGTCATTGTGCTGCTGATTGTACTGATTTAAGTGTTGTGTGCTTTTCTGATACTCTGAAGCCTGATAGCTGTAAACCAGAACCCTAGCTAGAGAGAAGAGAAGATTGAGGGTTGGAACAAACTGAAGAACTTTGGTGTGAGCCCATTTAGTTCTCTATTTAGAACAGGATCCTAGAATAGAACAGAATCCTGGAATGTTAGTATTGGAAAGGACCTTGGAGGTCATCTAGCCAAGCCCTTTCATTTCACAGAGGAGGAAACAGACTTACCCAAGGGCATACAGTGAGTGAGTGGCAAAGGTGAATCAAAAATCTCGCCATTCTCTCTTTATTTTGTTGCTGCATGAAGACATAAGACTGTAAACTCTAGGACAGAATGTTGCTCAGTTTCTTAGTAGTCCTTTGCTGCTTTGGGTGGGGGCTAGAGTGGGCACTACAGATTCTGCATTTTTTTTTTGGTGAGGCAATCAGGGTTAAGTGACTTGCCCAGGGTCACACAGCTAGTAAGTGTCAAGTGTCTAGTGTCTGAGGCCTGATTTGAACTCAGGTCCTCCTGACTCCAAGGCCAGAGCTCTTTCCACTGCCCCACCTAGCTGCCCCAATTCTGCATTCTCAGAACAAAATGGTGCCCTTAATCAGTAAAGCATCCTGAGTTCTCTGAGCTCAAGTAGTCATGGATCATTGGGTGGCAGCCCAGGGACAGCAGCCAAGCTGCATGATTGCACCACCCTGTCCACAGAGGTAGGGCAGAGGGAGCACCAGACCTGGTGTCTAAAAAGCTATCACAAGTACAGGGATTCATGGAAAGGAGTGTGACGCAAAAGACTCAAGGTGGAGAAGTCATGCAGTTGCTCCATCCTATTTAGAGTCATCAGTCAGTCAATCCACAAGATTTTATTAAGGGTCCACTGTATGCTAATCCTAGTGATGGGTGCTGGAAATACAAGCACAATGAATGAAACAATCCCTAATCATTTTTAATGAATCATCCTAATACTAATTAGGAGCTTTCATTTAATGGGAAAGACAACAACTGTATAGAGAATAAATATAAAAAGAATAAATACAAATAAACACAGAGTAGTCCAGTCTAAGGTGGGGAGGTTCGGGGGACACTAGTATGGGAAATCAAGGAAGGCTTCATGTAAAAGGTGGCACTTGACTTTCATCTTGAAGGAAGAGAGGAATTCTCTGAGGCAGAGGTGAAAAGGGAGAGCATTCCAGGCATGGGGAGTAGCCAATACAAAGGCACATAAATGGGAAATGGAGTGTCACGTGTGAGAACCAGACAAAGTCAGTTTCGTTGTATTGTAGAACGCAAGAAGCAGAGTAAGGTATAATGAGACAGAAGAGATAGTTTGGAATCAGAGTAATTTGTATTTGACTCTGGAGACAATAGGAAGCCATTTGGGAGACTGTTACAAGGGCGGTAGGGGATGAGGGCCCACACTGAGGTGGTAGCTGGGTGAAAGTAGTAGCAATGGCAAGACTTGTCAATTGATTGGATATGCAGGGTAAGACTAGATTGAGGAGTCTGGAATAGTGCCTGGTAACCAACTTGAAATAAAGAAATTTAAAAGAAAGGTGGATTTGGGGAGAAAGACATTAAATTCTATTTTAGACGTGTTGAGCTAGAGATGACTTCAGGACATCTAGTTTGAAATGATCAAGAGGTGATGAAAGACTGAAGCTTAAGGCTATATAGATCTAGGTGTCATCAACATAGAGACACACCTTACCGTTAAGGGGTGTGATCTGAGCCATCAGACGACACTGAGAAAGAGCAGTTAGGAAAGTGGGGTGAGGGGGGACCCAGGAGAGTAGTGTTAGAAAAGCCCACATGAGGAGAATATGCAAGAACAAAGAAATACTAGAAATGTTAAGTGTTGTGTGCCTTCCTGATACTCTAGGTCAAGAAGGATGAGGACTGGAAAAGAAGACCACAAGATTTCACAAGTAGAAAATTGTTGATAACTTTGGAAACAGCAATTTCATTCCAGCGATGAGGCCCGAAGCTAGATTGCAAAGTGTTGAGGAGTGAGTGGCATGCGATAGTGCTGTATGTAGAGGACAGTTACAGCTTTTTCTTAGAGTTTGGCTGAGAAAATGAGAAGAGCTGTAGGACAGTCACTCGAGCAGATGGCAGGTCTAGTAAATATGAGGAGAAGTTGAAGATTAGCAAGAGAGAGGAAATGACTGAAATTGCAATGGACTGAAGAAGGGGAGGAATGCAATCAAGGGCATGTGTGAGGGATTTGCCTTGACAAGAAGAAGAGTCACTTCTGAGACTAGGGAAAAGAAGGAGGATGTTCGGGATGGTGTTGGGGAGTTTTGAGATAAGGAGAATGAGAGAAGAGGTTACATGGACTCAGTTTTCTCAGTGAAGGAAGAGACAAGATTCTCAGCTAAGACAGGAGAGAGGAGGATGGTGAGAGGCTTGAGTAGAGAAAAGGAGGTTTGGAGAAGCTTTTTTGAGGAAGGCAATAAGGAATCAATTAAGGAAGAATAAAAGAACCACCTTACTCCAGTGAGGGCCCAGTTGAAACTGAGTAACATGAATGTGGTCAGTACAGTTGTGTGACTTTTTCCAGTTCTATTCAAAGTGTTCTGAACATATCTGGTCACTTTACTGTGAAAAGAAAAGGTGATGTAAAAACTGTATCTATATCTCTCTATCTATGTCTATATCTATATCTATATCTATATCTATATCTATATCTTGATACAGTTTTATTTAAAAAGCAAAAAACAGATTCTCTTAATCCAAAGCCACTGGAACATATTTTAACACCCAGAGAATCTCTCAAGGTTCCCTGTGAGCCTAATAACATTTGAAGAGTTACTCTAAAATATTAAATAGTCAATTTGTTGCTCTCCTGGCTATTGAAGAGACTGTGGTTATGGCCCAAATAACTTCCCAGTTCCTCATATTTGACTTTAGAATGGGAGAGGATACTTATGTCTTAAAAGACATTTGCCTTCCAAGTTATTAGTGACTTAGGCTAACATGTAGATTAGTTTAGTATCCCTTGGTACGTACCAGCTGGCTGCAGGGGAAGGTCACCCAGAAGCAAGGGGCAGCCAGCCTCAGAGGAAAGAATAGCCAATGAAAGCCTACAGAGGAGGTCAGTTCCACCTAGGGATAAGTGCAAGGTGACTGCTTTCATATGGAGAGACTTCCCTGCTCTGTAGTTAAGGTCTGAAAAAGCCATCTAGGAGTGCCTACTGTTACTCTGGGAATGCCCTTTGTAAGGATATC